GGTGGAAGGGCTGTGCAAGAGACGTGAGAGTTGTCTATTTATGCTTTTATTATCTAATTGATTACACTATTGACATATGGGTGTTATAAAATCTTCTTGAATCTAATGTGAAGATGCGATTTCTTAAACAGCTTCTTGTATAGGAGGTGTCACTACACGAGATGCTCTTGAAATCGTTTATTTATGAAGTTGTGCCGATCATCGGCATCGGCGAGCAAGAAATAATGAGGCTTCACGGATAGTGTACTCACAGTGATACCTTGATCTGATCCTGGGTTGAGTGATCTATCACAAAGCACGCGACAAACACGAACGTGCGTGGTTGTCCGCCCCTCTTGTATGTGAAGTGATAACATCAAGTTGACCACAAAAAACACGCAGCAAACACTAACGTGTGTGGTCGGTTTTCCTGTCGACGGTTTAATAGTAAGGTTGATGTATCTTCTTCTAGTCAGTGGATCTCCGCAAGTACTTTGGTCACTAGCTTACCAATTCGTACAAGTGCGTAAAGTTCCTTCCCGACCTGCTGCTTCTCTATAGAATAGCCCCTTTCGAACTGAACTTTTCATGAGATATCCCTTGGCTGCCCCCGCTAGTCGTTGCTTCAATTTTGTTATTTGTGACAGCGACTTTTCGCTGCCTTGTTCCCATCTTTAAAGCCTCTTGCTATGAGTCCCCACTCAAGGAGCTTCTGATCTTAGTTTTACAATCAGAGCGCGCCGCTTTTCGACGGCATGATGAATATGCACACCCCTTTTCCCACTTCATAAGAAATTAGGCTTAAACAATGAGAATATCGAAGGAGTATATCTGGCGGCAATGTGTGAAGTGGAAGATTTGCCCCTCTCCGGGACTCATTGTGGTGGGGGTGATTTTTGGTCAAGCATCTTCGCTTGCCCTATGCAAGCAGCAACATTTGTTGTACTTGACATTGTTGTACATGCTTATGACATGCTTGCTGGTGGCATTGAAGGCACATGTGCGGCGCAGATTATCGGACGTCGTACATGCCGGGTTTCGGGTTGCAATGAATTTTAAGCCTCAAAATATACTCGAGTAAACAGTCTCGCAGGGTTTTGATGGTAAGTCGCAAGGGTCGTTTATTGCATTCAAAACAATTACTACGTCTGTAGTACGAAGAGCAATAAAGTGTCTGTTTACGAGTAAGTTCCAGATGTACTAACCTTTTTCGAGCCTCCAGCAACCTTGGCAAGACTTTCACAGATTTTATGTCCGTTCGAGAATTCTTTTTATGATAGCCGTTGAAATTTTCTTAATGAATACAATTCGAGGGATTTCTTTTCACTCTCGAATAATCAGTATTATTTGAGAAATTATACAGATATACTCTAATTTTTAAAAATAAAATTTTTTAATAATAAATAATTTCATGTAATTAATTTTAATAAAAGAATATATTTATTAATATATTATTAAACAATTTATTAAATAGAAAAACATATACTTGACGATATGCTAAAAAAAATTCGTACCTGTAAAATGTTCAGCAAATTCTTGTTCTATTCTTAAAGAGCGATAGTAAATTTTCTTTGCTTGATCTTCTGTAATTTTTTTATTAATATTCCTGAAAAAAATAGATTTGATGCAAAATATAATTAATTTCCTCAAATAATTAATAATTGTTACGATGTATAAATATTTTATTAAACAATTATTGAAAAGTGTAATAATTTATTAATAATACAGCAATGTAATATAAATTACCATTGGTTTATATAACTTCTTTATGTTTAATGGTACTGGAAGATTTTCTGGCAGATGTTGTAACAATGATATAAGAATATTTGAGATTTTCGATAATTAATGGAGTGTTTCAATGGGTATAAAATATAACTATATAAAAAATATTTTATTAATAATTTTATCTAATTTTTGATAGTTATGTAAATTTTTTATAGATACATATTATTACATTGTTTATTCATCGTATTTTATGATTTTTTTAAAAATAAAAATATAATAAAAAACGAGTAAATATATCAACTAAAATTTAAATAAATTGAATAATTGTATATTATAACAAAGTACGAGGTAAGACAGATTGATATAATTTTAGTTATAAAATATATAAAATAAATTCAATTAAAACCTACAATAATACGAAGTTCACTCATTTATAAGTATCGACCAAGCGCTAAGTACATTCATTAGTATTTTAATGAAACAAATCAATTTCTTTAAAAGTAGACCTTTATCGGCATACTTAAATAAATAACTTTCTCTCTCTATATATATATATATATATATATTCTGTAAAAGGATTATCAGAATAGCATACTTTAAGTACTAATTTATTTCTGAAATTATAACGTGGAAAGGCCTGGTTTATATCATTAAATTAAAGAAGTGTAATAGTAGTAAAAGTAGATGTTACAATATTTACAGAGATCTGATCAATATCATTATAGATGTAAAATATTTCTGCATAATTCCATTATATAAAATGCCCAACTATTATTGTACTATGAAGCAGCAAATCCAGAATAGCGAATATTCAACTGGTATTAAATTAAAAAATGGTAATATAATTAATATTTATTAATAACTATATTTAATAGTCATTTGAAATAGTAAACGATACCAATAGAAATAAATAAATAACAAATGGTAAATAATAGTTGTTGAATAGAAAACTTATATCAATAAGAACGAAGGTTATATATCTATATATTATAAGATTAATACTTTAATGATAATTATACAGTACTCTTAGTTTTAAAGTACAAATTCATTTTTGTATAGTTATTACTAATTGCTTTGATTTATCAGTTTATTTTTTATTTTTGTCTATTTTTATTAACATACATAGAAATTATTGGAATCTTCGATATCCTTCATTTCTCTTCTGAGTGACCAATAATATGAGAGAACTGGTATAGTGAGACACCTATTAAGCAATTTTTACACTATTTCATGGTTTGTATATCATACCATCGTTACCAAATATATCTCATCATAAACGTCATTGTTCATTATCTTTTCATGTAATGCTCATTTTTTGAAAACTTCTAATCTTTATGATGTATACAGATTGACCAGCTTCAATATTATGTATGAGCTACATTGACGTATCTTTGTACTTTATTTTAAAGATACTATATCAACGTTAATCTCTTTAGCTACAATTTGATCTCAAATCATCCAATACGTTAAATTAAATTTTGATTGTAGATTCAATTATAAATAAATTTGAATCATAAGATTATATTATAAAATTTGAGATTTTTAATAAACTTTCTTCACGAGCTAGCTCAAACAAACATTGATATTTTATATATTGTTCCATTATAATAACAGTACTATTATATTATAAAATTAATTCATTAATTTTAAGCAAAATAGAATTAAAAAAAATATTACTGAAATACTCACATTACAGATTCTAATGATGGTACTTTAATAAATAATGCTATTGGATAGAGATGTGCAGCATATAGTCTTTTAATTGCATTTCCACTAACATCAAGAATACAGTGTTTACCCTGAAATAAATATTGTTAATAAAATTCTGAAATTTAATTATTATGTATAAATATTAGTGCAAATTCCTAATTAATAAATATATGAGTTTCATAAAACATTATTGTAATAGCTGTCGAAGCTATTATTAGTATTATTCAAATTTAAATTAAAAATCAATATTTTCTTTCATTACATGTATACATATTGTTCAAAATGTTCCGTTCCGATGTTCCAGCTCGTTTTACCAAGACCGGTTCGAGGGATACAAATTGTTACCATTGACAACTCGGAGACCACGGGATATAGTGTGGTAGCGATGTTAAGTCAAGTGGAAGGGATTCAATATTAATACATCTAGTTGTTACTCTTTAGTAGTTGTTAATACGTTTTTTTCAAATACAGGGATGATTATTATTACTGTTACCAATTGTTAAACTCTTGTTGGGTATATTACGATTGCGATGCCAAGTGTATACTTGTTATAGTAAAACTGCTTGTTTTTTCTGCTATGAGCGCTGAATGGCGCCAAAATTGGCTTGTCGACACTCCCTCTGTGCGTATGAGCGCGTGCTTGATTGAGGTTATAGTCGACAAGGTGGGCGCGAAATGAGCGAAGGTTGATTCTAACAGATTACACTTTTAATCGTAGCAAACGCACCTTAACCCTGAGGTAATCGGATGTTCTAGTTTTCTCTCTTGGCGTAGTGCACTAATGTTATTTCTTGGGAAGTAAGAGGTCGTAAGGCTCTTAACACCTTATAGAGAATACCACATTTGGTGTCTGCTATAAGCGCTGAATGGCGCGAAGAATGGCCTCTTTAGCGCAGGACTCGAACTAGGAATAAAGTTAGGTCGGCAGGGTACGCGCAAATGACGCGAAGACTTAGCAACACGTGCTGTTCTACGCACTGCCTTCTCCTGTTAGAAAGCCTCAATCTATTATGTTTGTTCTACGCTGACTGGCGTGAAGATCGACTTCATGAGCAGCGGACGGATGATAATTGGTTGATATTACTTACGAAGACTAATCGTAGACTCAGTCAAGGCACTTTCCACTTCCTATTTGAATAATGACATTATCGAGAGTAATTAAATCTTGAAATTGTCTCTCTTAAATACATTCACTAACAATGGTTTTCACTTGGGATCCCTTCCCCTTTTATTGTGTCCAATCTGAGCACGGTTTTTGGGCAGCATGATTGGGCATGCACGCCTCTTTTCCTACTTCCAAAGAATTTAGGTTTTGGCGATGATAACATCGAAAAAGTGTATGCTCGGTCCTCTCTTGGACTTAACTTCTTGGTCAAGCGTCGTCGCTTAGCTCGCGCGAGAGGCAATATTCGGCGTACTTGACAACAATGTATGCATTGTGTCTCGTGTCATTGAAACCATACGTATGTTATAGACTGAAAAATAAATAATTCTTATTATTAAGTACTATTAAAACTGTCTATTGTCTAATTCTTTACTATTCTGCAAAGTATTTAAGATATTAAATGTTTGTCAAATTTTGAATACAAATTATACAATTACTTATTTGTATATTGATGAAATAACATTTTACTTTTATATTATATAATTTATTATAACAAGTATAAGTATGTACTGTAATGATACATTTATATTTAATTGTTTCTTGAGTATTTTATGCTGTTTTAGCGAATAACTAAATTTTCAATACTAATTACCTTTTCTGCAACTTCTCTTACAGAAGCAATAGAAGTACCATATAGGTTTTCATTATATTGTCCGGCTTCAATAAAGAAATGATTTTGAATATCACGCTCCATGTCTTCTCGAGAAACTATAAAATAATAATCTCGCCCATCTATTTCCGTATCTTTTTTTGGTCGTGTGGTATCTATAATATTAATATATAAACAAATAAAACAATTTTATATTTATAATACATTTGTTAATAGCATTATTAAATAATATAGTTTTTTAATAAAATAATATTTTAATTTTAAATAAATTATTTTTTGATTTTATATTAAACGAATATTTTATTAAAATTTTAAAATAAACAATGTATTACTACAAAAATATTATTATAGTAATTGATGCACAAATATAATTATGTTCAGAAATTTTAATTATCGATTTTTTAATAGCTGACAACAAAAGAGCCGATTATGGTTCTGGAACCAATAGGTAAGACAGTGGTGCGAGAAATAATGGAGGTGATTGTACATTTGTATCATTTCGGATGTACTGGCTTTTCCGAACCTTCAACGACCGTTGGAGATTTTTCTTAGAAGTCATGACCGTTGAATCATTTCTCCAAAATAATAACCATTCGGGTTTTTCCTTGAAATGATATCCATTGGGATTTTTCCCCAAATGATAACATTCGAGAGATTCTCTGAATCTCCAAGATAAATTTCCACATTATTAATAATATATTAATATTAATATAGATATTAATAATATTAAATATTGAAATATCGTTATTTACAATTAATTTTTACAATTATATTCTCAATTTTTGTTCAATTGTTTTTACTATTTTATACTAAAAAGTTTTTATTCTAAATAAAACTACTTGACTTGAACTGAAATATTACTAGAACATCATCTAACACTATATTTACTTTTCTTGATCAAAGTAGTATATTTGAATATAAGTTATTTTAATATTAATTATAAAAAATATTAATAAATCATAATCTACATAGCAATAAAAGAAATTATTAAAGCGAATTGTTACGGATTGCAGTAGTTTCTAAGCAAAATAAAAAGTGGGAGAGGTATGAGCGCGCGAGCATTTGTTTTGTAAAAACTGACTAACGAATTCAAAGAATGCTATAACAGAAAAACTCGAATATACTACTATAATTCCAAAAGTAATAACAAATGAACTCTACGAGGTTATGCCCTGTTTACGTCGCGACAAATATCAGCCTAGCAACGATCACCTATGCAATTTCAACGCAGCTTGTTTATACAAGAATATTCAAGGAGCTGCACATGACGGTCTCATCCTTCTACTAGTTCAATCAAGCAATCATCAAGATTAAATTATTGTTCTACAAGTCCACGCCATTTACACAGAGATCGCCTTAAATTGACATAAATCGTTTTCTTACAAGTCAAATACCACTTATATAGAGGTCACATCCAATACACAACGATCTATCTCCACACACGTAAGCTACGCTATTACACACGTCCTTACGTACCATCAATACAACTGAAATCGACTCCACACACGTAAGCTACGTTATTACACACGTTCTTCCGAATCACTAACACACGACTCCGTGAACTGAGTAAGCAGCAATACCAAAACCACGGCATCATTACCATTCATCAGTGACGTCATACACCAGCGGCCCACTCAAGCCTCTCCAGCTCATCGGTAGCGGTAACGGCGGCATCAATTCTCCTCAACAGTGGCGTCATACACCAGCGCCCCACTCAAGCCTCTCCAACTCATCGGTAACGGTAACGGCGACATCAATTCTCCTCAACAGTGACGTTACATACCAACGCCACCACCCAGGTCTCTCCAGCGTATCGGTAGCAGCAATCGGTGGCGTCAATCACGCACCATACCACAAGAATACACTTATAAGATTATCATCACTCATATTACCTGAAGAAACTCTCACCTATTTATTCTATCATACACTCATTCGATATTAATAGATTATTAACTATTCGTTATTTATTATATTCAATAAAAGGGAAAATCAACTCATATAAAGGCAGTATTGAATTATTGCATTGTCCATTCCACTTGCCAGCAAGCCTCCCTTCACCATCTCAGGGAAGCGTTTTTAGTCTGATCTCAGACACGAATGAATATGTAAATTAAAAAACGATTAATTATACGTTATTTTTAATTTTAGATTTTAGAAACAAAATATATAATATATAATATAAAATACTTACGTGGAATACAACTACCAAATTTTTCTGGAAATTGAGTGATTAGATCATCGTTTATTCTATCTTTCATTGGTCCAAGGATAATAACTGGTCTTGTATAATTGATTTTTATTTTTTTAACTTTGTCATATGTCAAAATATTATCTTCGCTACCTAATTTATATAATCAAATTATTATAAAAATTATTTATAAAAATATAATCAAATTAAAATAAAAATGATTAAATACATATAATTAAATTTTTATAATGTATACAAAATATTTTAAATTATAATACACATTTTTAATATATTGTATATATATTAAGATATCAATTTTTGGTATATTACAAAAAATATATTTAAATTTTTTATTGTTTTTTTTTTTAAATAAATCTATGTCCATATTATAATTATTAAAATTTTGACGAATTACTATTATATAATTTTTCCTTGTAAATGATTTTACCAACTGTATCAATGAACAAATAAAAATTAAGTAATTTATAAATTTAGATAAATTTTTCAAATTAAATTTTGCAATTTTTGAAGAGTATTATTAGTTATTTTATCTATTCAAAAGAAAGTAAATAAAAATTAATATATAATACATAAAATTTTATAATTATATGATTAGATTTGTTTCCATTTATATATTTTTTAAGTATTTGTCGAAATTTCAAGTATTTCAAGTTGTTTTCTTGTAAAGTCTGTATATATATAACTGTACACATGTAAAAAAATTTATTTTAGATATGATAAGATAGTTTTACGATTAATATCACCATCATATCTTCATAAGCTATTATACTTTAATTTTAGCGTATAGATAATTTATCTGCGATACAGCATCACATATTTTTGAATTGAAATGCTAATATTATTGTAGTTGTCAAAAAAACTATAACATTGATTTTTTGAACTAAAAGTTTTTGTATAAATTCGGCACGAGTATAAAATTATTATAATTTCCCGTTTTTAATAATTAAGATAAAATCGGAAATCCGTAAATCTTATATATTTACTTACTTCATAGCGTGTATAGAATATTTTAATCCTATTTATAATGTAAAAAATGAAAAAAATAATATCAAAGAGAAAGCGAAGATATTTCGCTCATATTTTATTAAAAGTTATCTTTAATATCGAAATTGATAATATAAATATTCATTGAAAATTCTAATTTTTATTGTAATACACTTGCTTCTACAATGGGAACCCCTTATATGATTTGGCTTATATGAAATTTTCCTATATCTACACCACTGAATTATTTGTAACTCTTTGTGTGAAGACACAGTAGATGATTTACATGTATATTATTTGTATAAAGTCGATGTTACTTAAACACCAGATGATGATTTTTAACATTTATTTTTTAGTGCATAAAACGATAAAAATATTTACAATTGAAAAACTACTGCTTATTTATAATACTTTACAATTATTACTTCAAAATAATGTTCTTATAATGATTTTTTGCATTGCTAAATGAAATAAAGTATCTACTTTGGTAAATTACCACAGACAAGATTTTTGCGAATAAGTTTTTACTATTTTCTACTTAATGTTCTACATCAGTATTTAAAATTAATTAATATTGTTCAAATTTTCTTAATACTTACATAATTGTTGATTGGTTTCTTCATCATCATCTTTTTCTAAATAAACTAATGTCAATTCTTCCATATAAGGTAATTCCACACGATATAAAATTTCTTTGCTGCCATTATCTAAATCATTTGCATTCATTTGAATAATGATTAGTATGTAAAATTTTTATGAATGAAAGCGAGGATGCATAAAATATACATTATACGTATAAAATAATTTCGGAAAGAAAATTTTATGTTTTTCTTTTACTCAAATTAACAGAATTAATATAAATATAATTTTAGTACACAAGCAATAATTCTTTATAACTCTTTAGATTATGAAAAATGTAAAGCTTATACTTTATTATTTTAGATAATTATTTATTTCTGCATCTTATATTTTATGATAAATTTTATTTTATAAACTTTTTGGAAAATTTTTATAATTTTTACTGACATCTAATTTTTTCATTTGTGTATGTTTGAAATTGAGTGTTTGCTTTGTGGCTCGATCTGCCAATGCAATAGCTCAGTGAATTAGTCTCTCGCCGTAGCGATTAGAAGGAAAAGGCACAAGTGGAAGGGCTGAAAATATTATGTAATATATATTTTAAATGAAGATATTGTTTTATTCTGGTTTATGAATTATTAGAATATTGCAGTTTTGTTGGTTGCTTCAAGTAAGAGAGAGAGAGAGAGAGAGAGAGAGAGAGAAGTATTCTAATGCAGTAATGAGGGTGCTTCCTTGTGTCCTTGGTTGTCGTTGATGCTATGGAAATTGCTGTGGATGTTGAGTATTGAGTTTATGCTGATGGGAAGGTGGTAATGGTAATCAATTAGGCTTCGTAGGGAGAGTAAGCATACTTAATAGGAGAGAATACGGTATTCTCAGCGGTAGTTGTAACGTAAGTCGACCATACTCCAAAGGAAGTATGGAAATATTAGAGTTAGTCACACGCAAAAAGATTAAATCATAAACAGTTCCTTTGAGGACAGAAGGATATAATAATAGATAGTTATAGCCCACTATTTGAGAATCTATAGTCTGACCTTGACAATGTAATTACATGCGGGGGGGGGGGACGTACTGTCTCTAGCCTCATTGGCTTGAGAGGGCGTATTTCGTCACCTGTCTCGACTGGTTGTATTATAGTCTTGACAATGTAATTACATGTAGGGGGTGAAAGCACGATCTCCGGCCTGGTCGGCCTGAGAGACCGTAGCGTTACCTGTGCAGGCCTTATACGTGGCGTAATTCGAGCGTGGATGACTAGCTTGTACAAATAATAACAGGATGTACCTTATGAACTACCGACAGTGCATGCTGAATGGCTTCGTGGCTGGCGCACCTTATTGATTACAATTTTAATGGCTTCACTGTTAAATTGCTAACCTGTTGCAGCATATTCTTATAATAATGCACGTATGTTTTATAAATCGATTGTCTGATATGGGGCTGCGATTCGTGTGGTCACAAGTGAAAACTGATACTATATGTATGTGAAAATGCACTGATTAATAATAACAGATCAATGAGCGAGGTGTAGAATTACAGTGAGCTATAATTGATAACTGAGTAGATAGTAAAAACACCGTGAGCCAGGTGCGTTGTGACTGATTGGATGTTAAAAGTACAGTGCGCGTCGCGTGCCGAGCTGCTCTTAAATATTCACAATATGCCGAAAATCATAGTGACCTCAGAGAACGAAGCTCTGGAATGTTCTAGAAGCGTCGAAAGATACAGCCTTGGAAGGTTCTAGAAGATTCATCGGCGTTGCTATGCGGAAATATTATCGAATCTTAGAATTTAAGGCATAGGAAAATTCCCAAATTCGCTAAGTCGTATTTACGAACATGAATGTCCGAGAGCTTGTAAATTTCCCAATTTTAAAAACTGCTGAAACTGCTTCAATCCCGAACAGTGTATAAGTAATAGCATATATCAATTTTAGAATTTTTCGTAATTGTGATAGAATCATAAAAATGTTATTGTATATATTTGTTTTTCTGCTTAACATAATTAGTAGCTATTAGATTAGCATGAAATATGTAGAAGTATAGTGTACATTAGGTAATCGTTTTATGCAGTATTATATATTTCTATAAAAATGATTATATATTATTTGGAATTCCAGCCACTCGGATGATCAGGAGACCAAGCTGATTGGATCAGACCGTACCACCGGTTTAATGCTGGAAAGGGGGAATGAGTGAGAGATTAATGCATAAATGAGAATTGTTGAGGTTGTCGCAACCTGGTCTTTTTGTACTGTAGGCTTTTATTGTATCAGCGAAACGTAACAGTAATTCTGGGAGTTAAGCTTCACGAGAGACGCGTGGCTAAACGGCGTCCTCTTCATAGGTCTGATAATAATTAAGTTGCAGAGAACTTACCGATAATGTCGGCGCTGAGCCGCAATAATAAATGATATAAATAATTTGCTGGAGATGCCAGATTATACCGGTGTCCTCAAAGCGGTCTGACAAGAGTCAAGTTGTGGGGGGCATACCGCTAGCTGGCCAGCAATAAATAATATAAACAAATGAGTGTATCTTGCATGGATTCCCGTAGACAAACGTATAGAACTTTTACTAGGTGTGACTTGCACTGTACGACTGGTTTCTTCGATGTGCACTGCTCTTTATATATGATCGTAGATATTTAGAATCTGGCACTAATACCTTTAGTGTTACTGTGCCGAAGCTTTCTTACGTACCCATAGAGTTTCAATTCTCGAAAATTCTGTCAAATTCTCGGAAATAAAGCTTTGGCCGGCTTGAGGCTTTTGCGTAATTGCTATACGGATATATTTCAGGACTTTCTTAGGCAAAGGCTTTAACGTTTATCGTGAATTTTCGTAGCGAATTTTTCTAATATTGCGAATTATAATGACTTTAAATTTCATGAAATAAATTTTTATTGTTGGGTGCACCAATCCCAAACATATATATATATATTATAACTTAAATAAAATCGATTATTTGTTGTGCTATTAGCAAAAATGAAAATAGTTTAAAATTGATTTTTATAAATGTTCTTTTATTTTAAGGTATTAAATTAATTGAAATAAGTTCTGTATACTAGGTAATGCTGTAATATGAAGTATGTTAGAAATATTTATTATTGATTTAATATAAATGTTTATGTTTTGAAGTTTACATTCAGTAAAATATTTATTAATATAATTAATATTAATATAAAATTTATATATAATTTAATAAAAATTTTAATATTCCATTTATAAGTATACTGCTAAAGGTTACTGAATAGTAATTATTTCATTCGATTAACAGAGCATACATTTTTTTATTTAAGTAGCAGTTGCAAATTTGTTTGGAAATTAGACAAGAAAATTTTATGCAAATAAAGTAAGTCTTAACATTTTTTATTATACTAATTAGTACAATAGTATTAGTATTATACTAATTATACTAATAATAGTAATTTAAACACTTTTAGTAACTTAACATACATAACTTCAATTATTGGCAGAAACTTGACGAGTAATTAAATTTCATGATAAATACGTCGTAGATATGTTTCCGATTACAGACATTTTATGAAATTTTTTTTTGAATGTTACTGTAAGAACGAAATTATAATAATACAAGAAATTTATTTCCTAACTTCTATACTATAGAATTTATCGATAAGCTTATTAAACATATCTGTTTTCTTTTATACTCCAAATTTTTTTAAAAACTTTATTATATTGATAGATTTATTTACAAATAAAAGCTTGAAATTATTATAATTCAAAAGCAATATATTTTCTAAATTTATGGTTACTTACTGATTATAATTTAATACATACCTTCAATTTTGGCATCATCTTGTGTGTAACATAACATATATGATTCTATAAGAAGAAAAAGGAATTTTAGAATATAACAAATTATTTACAGAGCAATCAAAATACTGATAAATTTCGTAGTAAATTAGTTTTATTAAAAGCTTTTTATTTCTTAAGTATGCAAGTATTTGTACGTTTTAATAAGTTCTAAATTTGTTCATTTCAACTTAAATATTTTTCTTTAAATTTTGAACAATTGAAAATGATAAATTAAAAATAAAAATAAGGAAAAATAACAGTACATCATACAGAAACGTTGTAAGTACAGAGAAAATGTAATTTACGTATATTTAATTTATGCCCATGTTTTCGTAATTCCATAATTATATATAAACTAATATATTATAATCAAATTAATTATGATTTTAACGACGTAAATTTTTTTAAATTACATTTACTATATGTAAAAGTATTTGTAAATCTACAAGTATGAAAGTAGTATCTTAAGAAAACTTATAAACACAACAATATTTTATGTGGATTCAAATTTATAAAAAAACTGATGCATGTAATTTAAATTCATATTTGTTTTAATTCTAATCCATAATAATAACAAAATTAATACTTTAATCACGTTAAAAAGGCATTTCGCACTTAATTTGCTCAATTTGTCTTATCATAATAAATATATATTTAAATAATGTATTGAATGATTATAATATAATGTATTATTAAATATTATTTTGCAAAACTTATTTAAATAAAATGGTTAAAATTAAATATCAACATTGGCAAAATATGTATCTAACAGTTAAACAACAAATTTATCTTTTCTATTTTTAAAGGGAAAAATTACGTCTTACAAAAATACATTTATATTTCTAAAATAAATAAAATGAAATTTAAATTTAAACAATTATTTGTAAATATATTATAAATTATACGGATTGAATTTGAAATTAATTGTGATTTAATAAAAACAATTATCTTCCATGTAAGTAATAACATAATTAATCAATAAATTCTTTATTGCATAATTAAATTAATTAAATTTCTTATTATTATTTTATATTTAAAATATTAAAAATTTTTAATTTACAGTTCTATGAAATAAATAATTTATTTTTTAAAATACTTACGTTCTTGTTGAGAATAATCATCAAACTTTTCGTCCTTATTTTTCATGAATGGAAATTTTCGACTAAACGAATAATTCTTTTTCCTTTTATCTAAAACATTCTGCTGAAATTTAAAAATTATTAAAATTTTATTTTTAGTATTCGGTGGTAATAAAATTTATTATATAAATAAATTAAACATTATTTTAATGCTTAGTGATATTCCAAGTTAAATTCATAACAAAAAATGTTATTATACATTATCTTAATACATTATTTAAATATTGAAAACTAAGAGCATTAACGTATTTTGCTTAATTCATCTTTGTATTGTATTAATGCAATTTTCATTTTCACGATTAAAATAAAATACTATAATATTTATTATTTTAATTGTTAAAATAATATTGCATAATATAATTTACATTATACAATTATTTGTTACTATTTCAATACAACAAAAATATTTATATGAAAGATTTACTTTTATAATCAAGATAAATACATTATTTTAAGTACTAAATACTATGAATTTGAAAATTATGTATTTTTTAAATAAAAAAATCAGCAAAATATCAATGTGAATTCCATAATAAAAATAATTCTGATAATTTTATGAAAATTAATTATAAAGTGAAAATAATTGTTTATAAGTAACCTATCATAAATATGCTTATGTGAATAGTAACTTCGTCGAATACAACTTTCGATCCCGCTGATTTTTAGCCAAAATGTTTTTATATAATTACCAGAATTCTTGACCATATCTATTAACAAATTACCGTATTGATTTAACTTCTGAAATTATTTGATTATTTGAAATATGTTAAATCTTATGGTAACTGAATAAGCATTTTAATATTACGATATTATAAGTAATTTATTCTATAGAATTGTTCTACAAATAAAATATCGAAATTGCACTAGTTATTCTTTGATACTGCTTATACTGTATAGAATGTTTTCTTACTGAATGTAATATGTATATAAAGCTTTGTAAATATTTATATTTAACCATTAGGTATTTTGGATGTTGAAATATATATTACCTAAACATATGCAATTATTTTAATTAACTATTAATGAAATTAGAAACTTTATTCAGTTTTTGTATAAAATTATATTCCATTATTAAAAAAAAAATCAAAATAAAATGGTTTTGTTAATATATAATGTACTAAGATTAATCAAAATGAAATCTGTTACTTTCAACTAGTACTTATGAAATTGTATTTATATTGAAAAATCATGTGATGTTTTCTGAATAACATTTTACACATATTAATATTTGAAAATAATTTTCATTGTCATTATGTTATCGATTAATAAAATGTATATTTATTTTTTCGAGATTCTGAGAATCTCTCGAATTTTATCATTTCTAGGAAAACCCCGACCTTTATAATTTCTGGGAAAACCCCCACTCTCCTTGGACATCCGGAAAAAACCGCTATATCTGAAGAAAAAGAAGTGCACAATCACCTTCATTGTTGCCAGCTAACTAAGCTACAGCGTGGATATTTAAAGCAATCGTAACGCAAGATAGGGGCGATTCAGCCATGAGCTAGTCTGTCAGAAGCTACTCACTCAATCACACTCTCTCAGTGAAGCCATTACACAAGGAATACACGTCAATTCTCGATTGCGCAATAGTTGACAAGCAGTCAAGGGTGCTGACTGCATTACAAGAAAATATTCGACTACAAGAAGCAATGTATCGAAGTAGTCCTTATCACAAAGGGATACCAGTAGTCTCTATTAAGGATAACTATTACAATAATTAAGCCATACCCCCTCCAATTGAGTATGCACAACTCTTTGCTAGTCCTTACAATATTAGAAGGTCTCAATTACATAAATAATTCATACTCCTTTCCAAGAAGTGTGTTTAATCTATTGCTGATCCTTACAAGATCAGCAGCGATATCGTTTTGATTGAACATAGTTTACACTCTCCTGAGAGGCGAATTCAACTCATTAATAATGTAATTGTCAATAATCCATAATAAACGATCTAACAAAATTTGCACACTGTATATCTCTATAGCCCTTCCACTTAAGTACTTACCTAAGCATCCGCTAGGGCGTGCGACTAATTATTATAAAGCTATCGAAACATTGGCAGTTAGAGGCAGAAAATCAAACAGTTTCGAACATTATTATAAAGAAAATTAATTAAACACTATATTGATGTACAAATTCCAATAAAAGTATATACTTTAAAAAAAAGGTGTTTTTCAGAATTAGTTTTTCTAGCTTCACTTTTGTATGATAAAAATGTCTTAAGTAAACAATTTTTCAGCAAATAATTGTTTTATATTTGTAAAGTGAATGTAACAGATAATAATTATTTAAAGCTGCACTTTATATTAGCAAATATACATATTAAATAACTTATATAAATATATATGTACAGACATGACATAAAATTTATAAATTATGAAAAAAATTAACGATTTGATTACTATTTTACCAATTCTCATTAAAGTATATTTAATTTCTTTGTATACCAAATATTGAAGAATAAAATTTAAATCTGTAAATTAAATATAATTAATGAAATAGTAATATATATTTCTTTATATTTTTATATATTATATTTATTTATGTATACTTGTATATATTATATTTGCATGAAATATATTTATTTATTTATATTTGTATATACTATATTTATTTGCTTTTTTATTTTTATGTTAACTTTTTTCATATTAAAATTGTAGTGAATGTTATGGTTTATATTTATTTGTAATATTATTATTCATGTTTATACAATTATATTGTACAAAATAATTAATTCTTTTTCATTATTTTTAATAGAATTTAAATTATCAAAATATAATTTGTAACATAAAGTTTATATATTATACTTACGTAATAAAATCTTTTTATATAATTGATTTTGCATTCTGAAGATTAATTTATATTGTTATAACTCATTAAATATTATTTAATTTATAATCAATATTTATTTTAATATTATTTGTTATATTTTTTGTCATATTTTACTAATTAATTAATCTTATAAAAAAACTATTTATATTACTTTATCAAGAAGAACCGACATATGTCCTTCAAATTTAACAGATCGATCTCTAGCTCGTTGTTTTCTTTCCCAACGTTTACGAGCAGGAATTATACCAAAACCTTCATTATTTTCAGAATAAACTTTTGTTGCTAACCACCATTCATCGTCGCTTGCGTTTGTTACATGTAGAATATCTCCAAATTGAAAAGTGAGTCCATGACTTGGTAAACCATCATCTTTATTGGGATCGTAATCGAAAAGTGCCCTGCAAAATATTAATATTAATTTATATTATATTTATCAATACAAATATTAAATACATAAATGTATACAAATACTATAAAAATCGACGATTAATTGAATAATATGTTAATTTCGATAAATTTATGTTAAGTTCATTCATTTTAGAAACTATAATAAAAATATTAACGAAAATAAAATATAAATTAGGATGAATGAAATAATTACTAAAATTACGAATAAGTATAGGTAGATTTCCTATATCATCGACAATATTAATTATATGCAAGTTTTTAACCAAAAATATGTTATTCTAATTATTTTAAAAATTAAAATAAATAAGACTTAACTTGCCATTTGTTATTTTAATTTTGTTATTAAATTACCTTTTTTAATTAACAGATAATTTGATTATGTAACGTTTAAAAATCATACTTTTTTTTAAATAATAAAATATAATGTCTAAATTCAATACTATATATAATAATATATAATATCAATTATTATTCGAATTAATTTCCAAATACATCGGTATAAAGAAAATTTATTACTACGCAGACAGCTACCAGGACATAAATAAATAATTAAATTCATTGATTACTTTAAAAAGAGGATAATTTATAAATATTATTTTTATTATTTTATATATGTTAATGTTCGATAGCTTTATTATAATTTGAGAATTCTAGGAAAGTAAAGGTTTAGAAAGTTGAAGCATTCCGAGAAACATAGTATTTAAAATTTCCAAAAGCCAAAGGTCTATAATTATAAATTCCGGTCAGTTAAGAATAAAAAATGGTTAGGATAATTTTATTCTATGCCATTATTCTATGAAACAATCATACAATATAATAGAAAGGTATAAGTATTTCGTAATATGTAACTGTTCGAAAATGATGTGGTTTTCTTAGATCGAACTACCAATGCTTCAATAGCTAATTTTTGCCGCCTGCCCTAGCAAATGCTTGGGAAGGAGTTTAGTGGAAGGGCTGTAGAAATATCGTGCTATTTGATGAATACATGATTTATTTTACAGTTTATAATACAATTACATATTGGAGTCTTGGAATCATGTTAAGTTTAATGTGAAGATGAGATTTCATGGAACATTTCTTGTGATGGATGTTTCACTATACAAGATGCTCCTTGAGATCGTGTTGTTATTGTTGATTTTGTAAGGATCAACAATTGAAATAGCATACGTCCCTTGGGCGAGTCTTTCATATTGTTTAATTATTGCTTCATCTCAGTCATGGACGGACTGAATATGGCAATATAGTAGGTCACACAGACTTTGTGTACTCACAGTAATATAGTGGCCTTGATCTAATCCTGAGATGTGTAGTTCATCATGATTTAAACTCCACATGCGGGAGTGCGTGCTTGGTAGTCTGGTCCTTTCGTGGTATGAAGGTGATAGCGTTAACGTCTTTCAACTGTAGTACAGGAGGGTTGATGTATCTTCCTTCTTTCACTGGATTACTTAAAAACTTGGTCACTAGTTTTCACCGATAAGTTAGATTACCCTTCTGACTTGGCTTCCCCACACGGATAATCTATTCCGACTTGGCTTCCCCACACGGATAAGCTATTCCGACTTGGCTTCCCCACACAGACAGCCCTTTGCTGCTATGTCGTCACCATTTTTTAGGTCTCTCGCAATGAGCTCCTGGTCTTAGTTTTCCAATCAGGGCGCGCCGCTTTTAAACGGCATGATTGAAAATGCATGCCCTTTTTTCCACTTTAGAAAAAATTAAGCTTAAACAATGACAATATTGAAAAAGTGTCTCTGGCGGTAGCGCCTGCAAATGGAAGGCTCGCCTCTCTCCGGGACTTAGTGACGTGGGGGGTTTCTTGGTCAAGCGTCTTTGCTTGGCCTATGCAAGCGGCAACATTTGGCGCATTTGACAACAATGTATGTGTTGTCTTATGACATTGAAGGCACACGCGCCGAAAATTGCCCGATGTCGCACGTGTTGGGTTTCAGGTTACAATGAATTTTTGGAAATGTTTTTCTTCTCGATTGTTTTCGTATATCTTAACTCTCAAAATATTCTCACGTAAACAGATTTGCTGCGCTCTTGCAAGTAAATAACAAAGGTCGTTTATTGCGCTTTCCGAGTCTCCAATGACCGTGGAAGAACTTTTATAAAAGTTATGATCTTTAGTATTTTTCCCAAAATAATACTTTAGATACTAGAAATTCTCTCAATATCGAAAGTAACATATAGTTAAAATTTATTTATTGAAACTGAAATTTATTTATAACTTTACATATGACCATGAAAATATTTTATCTTTATCTGTATTAATATTTTGAAGTATATTAAATATCGGTTTTGATTCCTAATACACGATAAGGAATTATTAATATTTTTCATATAATAATGTCCTTACAGCTTCATGAATCAAAACATGAATTACAACATATAACTAAATAGCTCTACTTGACATATACTATAAATAATCTCACGTTATTATTCTCATATTATATACAAAATAAATAACCAAATGTGTAAACTAATATGAGTATATTATTATATAATATATTATATTATTATATTATATTATACTATTATATTATTATATAATCTTATACCAGATGAGACTCAAAAGTTGAAGTGACTACATAGACTTATAGATAAATGAAATGCAGAAAAAAGAATTAATTTAAAAAAAAACCATTAATAATACGCATTGTGTTATAAAATAAAATAATAGAAAAAATAAAAAAATGTCTACAGGCTCAAATACTTTATAGGAACAAGAAATCAAAAGGAATAAAATGTGAAAAATTAGTGATACATTAAAGGTAAGTATTGTCTTACTATTTTACGATGTCTTTCTAAAAACGATAAGGAAAAGAATAACTTTGAAAATATAAAAAAACGTAGAAGTAATATTAATATCAAGTAGAGTACAATACATAATAAATTGGAAATATTATTTTTATGAATATTAGACAAATATTGAATTATTCAGATCAAATAATAACAAAAATTAATTTTTATGGTAAAAATCGCATACATTTTCCAACACACGGATAAATTTTTTTAATCTTTTGTGCATGTACTTATACTCTGGTTAAATAATAAAGTATTAAATATAAATAACAATCAAATAGCAAATTTATAGCAAATTTTAACAAAGAATATGCGATATTTTTCACGCTTAGGCGAGTTTAAACTGAAGTGTGTAAATTTCATTTCATGTTCTTCTATAATTTTCCGTGGATATTTCAGTATTATCGGCTTTGATTACAAAGTAATTTTCAAACTGCGTGAAAAGAAATAGTATTCAATAGAAAATTGAGAAGATTAAATTGGATAAGCTAACAGTAGAAAATAACAAATTGATACAATGGTGGAATTCGTCAGTAACGTATTTAGTCTTAATAAAATAATAAAAATGTATTCTGCTAAAGATATTACGGAGTGTTATACATCCATATATCACAATTATATATTTTGAAAAAAGTCGTACGTTTATTTATTGTTACTAAATTTTTTTCACTGAATCATTCATTATCTTATTTATTTACTTTTTTTATATCCTGAATCATTATTTTTCTTTTTCATTATCATTTGGTTTTCTTTATTTTCTATATCGTTTTTCACCTTTCTATTATATTACTCTTTTTTACCATCACTTTTCTTTATTCCTTGATATGCGAAGAAATTCTCATATAACTTTTGCTTCATCTCTTTTCATCTACGAATTTACACTAATTTATTTACAATTATTTCTCATATATAATTAATATATTATAAATGTAATTGAAGCAAATTAACAACTGCATCAAAATCATTGTAGACTGATATATTAAAAAGCATTTCCATAAAAAATAATTACTGGAATTTTAAATAATTTGCTTATCTATGATAAACTTTGAATGATTTTTTAAATTAATAATTTAATTTTAAAAACTAACTCGTACAGTATTCAAAAATAAATATTTTTGAAAATATTGAAAAATATGTAAAGAATTTAAAATCACTTTGTAGTTATACAATTATATAAATATTTTACGATTCGTACGGTGTGTCTATATTTTAAACATTTTTTCCGTTTTATCAATGCAATATAATATTATATAATTGTTATTACAGTATTGATTATGCAAAAATAATGAATAAGAATTGTTATTTTCTAAATATTATTAAATACAAGAATAATTTACTAGCCTTTAAAATGGACTTTATACTTAGTTTCAAGTTTTACTTAACTTTTATTATGTTTTGAAATATGGGTTTGAAAGCAGTTTTAGATTGATAATTTGTAATATTAGTTAGTGATATGCATTGAGCTAGTGAGCATAGTTTCGTTTTTTCACTACGTATTTTCTACTTATGTCGTCTATAAATATCGTCTTTATTTATTAAAAGTGTATTCTTAATTTAGTGCCCAAGATATAAATATGTAGTTGTTAGATAATCTGACTAATTAGACGTATCACTGTGGCCTATAATATCAAGATTTATACATATATATATAATTTACATACGTCGTATATTAACATGATGATTGTACATTACACCTTCAATCGTCACTGTGCTAGTGTGTTTTCAAAGCATAGTTTCGTTTTTGTACTACGTATTTTCTACTTATCTTTCTGGATTTTCATCATCCTCTCTATACCATTAAATTCTTACTTTTGTTATTTCCTTTTATTTGCATGGAATCACATATTACTACATTTATTATTTCTTCTATTCTGTAATAACCAATCTTCATTTCTTTTTATTTAAATTATCATATATAGTTATGTTTTTTTCAATTCTGTATTTGTGATGTTTCTTCTGATATCTTCCTTAATTCTTGATTCCATTACCGACAAATGAGTGAATTATTGATATCGTATACTGACACAGAGGATATAATTTTCAGTTACTCTTTTTCTGTGGATCTAGCATCAATGAGAAACCCCAATCTTGTTATATATTTAAATAATGGAATATCTATTAAAATGATAGACGATACAGTTTAATTTAGTTCATAATTTCTTTTATAATTTAATCAACAGATAATTTGAAGTATTCCTTCATAATGAAATTTTAATAAGATATATAAAAAACTATCAATAGTTATTAATATTTCACGTAGGTTTGTTTAATTATTAAAAAGAAAAAAAATATTAATTCCAACAATGTAGTTACTAATTTCATGATATCTAATTGAATAATTTCTTAAAAACATGTATTATTATGAAATACCTGACAAACATGGATTTCTTCTGTGTAGTTTTAATTAAAGATCCTCCGTTAAGTGATTGTTGTATTTGACATTCTTTTAAATAATGAAGTTTTTTTTCAAATTTCTCATATTCATCCATGTTATGTTGAACAATCAATGTAACTATTTCACCAGTTCCCTGAAAATAAGTTGAAAAATTCAGTATGCATAAGCTTTAAACTAAATGCATTTCAGAATTCAATTAATAAAGAAAAGGCAATAATTCAGTAATTGAGGTATTAAAAAAATTAGTAAAATAGAATTCATGGATCGGAAAAGCACGAGAATAATTATTTACGATAATTATTAGATAGTTACAAATTATTTGAAACATTGCCCTTGATTATATATATATTCTGATTATTTACCTTTAATATACATGCAGCTTCTTCGTGCGAGATATTTAAAAAATTAATTCCATTGACGCTTTTTATTTTATCTCCTTTGTATAAGTGACCATTAATATCAGCTGGTCCATCTTTTAATATAAATGAAATAAATATACCTTCTCCATCATCTCCCCCAATGATATTGAAACCCAAACCATAAGGGCCTTTGTTTAATGTAACGGTTTCACTCTGTCTATAATGTAGTTTTATTTAAAAAAGATAAATAATAAAATTTAATAAATATATGCAGTACTCATATAATAAAAAAATAAAAATATACTCTCTATTAAACTTATAATTATACCCTTTTTGAGCTATTTTTTATTACGTGATATATTATTGGCCGTATTTATTTCAACGTGCATGTTACTATTCTTGAAAGTATGAGGGTATTTAGGATTGAAACATTTTCAAGACCTGGCGCAGATGCATATGGACAGATAATAAGGCCCAATATTACCAAATACTCTCCATCCAAGCTAATTGCGCAACTGTCTATTTTTGGTTGCCTAGTAATTGTGCCTGTCAGTTTTCAAACAGTTTACCATCGGTTGCACTCCACACGTCAACACAGGGTGATGAGGCTACCTTGTGAGAACTATTGACAAGATTTTGTAAGGAAAAGTGCCAAAGGGTTATGATCGTCTATACACATCTGCTGAACAATGGTGTGAGGATCATTTCAGGACTCATTTGCGCGACTCAACAGGGAAATACATAGTTCAGATCCCATTAAAAAAATTTGTTGAAACTCTCGACGATTCCCACAACACTGCCCATCGGTGCCTGTAAGATTTAATAAAACAATTCTCCAGAAACGAAACTATCATCAACACTATCAACAATTTATGACGGAATATGAGGAACTTTAGCACATGAAGAGAGCTCCTCCACTCACTACTATTTGCCACATCACAGCATACTTACAACAGATAGCACAACCACCAGGCTAAGAGTGGTTTTCAACGGCTCCAGCACTTCGACATCAGGACTCTCAATTAATGACATTAGGCATACTGAAGCTAATTTGAACCCAGAAATTTCAGATGTATTAATTTGGATACGCTGTCATAGACATCTCTTTGCAACAGGCATCACAAAAATGTATAGGCAGATATGAGTTCAAAAGGACGACTAAGACCTGCAGAGAATTCTCTGGGTCGACGAACAACACAAGGAAGTGCCATTCCATTTGATCACAGTCGCTTATGGCACGAGAGCTGCACCAGTCTTAACAATCAGAAAGTTACTGCAACTAGTAGAAGACGAAAATTCTCGGATTACGATGGAGTCCTCAAGAGGATGTATTTACCTTTTCAACAATCTCAGTCGAAACTGATCATTTCATTAAACACTTAATATTATCAGACATTGCAAGGATTTTTGACCCATTAGGTTTTGTTTCACAAGCGTAATTATGACAAAAATGATACTACAAAAACTATGGCTACATAACCTCAATTGAGATGATCCAATACTGAATCAAATTGCAGATCAGTGAAGTACCATTAGAAGGAACCTATAGGGGTTGAACAAGATCACGGTTCAATATAAAAGGCACATCTACTGTGGAATAACATGGCACTCATATATCTTGCCGTCCACAACTCAAATGGTACTGGTGTTACGAATGAGGCAGCACGAATGTAGATCGAGGTACGAAGGTAAGAAACGAAGTTGATAGCGGGCGGAATATGCAGGATTGAAGCAAATTCCAAAACCGTTGGCTCTTGGAATGTTAATCCCTCTAGCTCTCGAATTTCTGTAAACATTTGGGTCTGAGAATTCTCGAATAGTCTAAAGTTTTGGTTTCAAACATCCTAAAATGTTTATTTGGTCTCCGCATAGCAACGTCGATTGGAATTCTCTTACCTTCTACAGCTTTGTTTCCACGGAGTTCTCGAAACCTCTAAAGCTATATTCTTAAACGTTCACATCAACACGCCTTCTGCTTCATGTGTGTATTCAACGAGCTACTATTATATGAACCGCTAAGGAGAGTATACGATATCAATTATACAACCATTTAACAACCACAGCTGCAAGGAGAAGGTACTGCAAGAGCATCACAGCACCCTCCACTCCTACAGATTAAGGGAATCTTACGTAACTTGATAAAGCACACTCCCTGTCTCCAACCTTGACCAGTAAGCCCAAAAAACACACAGGGTATTCACAAGTAATCACTAACATGATCACCACACACACTATTTCCGCACCATATGCAACTCTGCTTTGCGGTGGAACCACACACACTTACAGCGCCATTACGCAACCCTATGTTGCGGCGCATCCATACATTCTTACACTCGACAAGATACCACCAAGTAGCACTATACCAAGAGATAGTGAGATTTACGACCTCCTATCTCGACATGTAGTGCATGCTACTGTGGAAATCATCAAAGAACTGCAAGGATCGCAACAACTCTCATTATCAACTGAGAATCATTATAGTGTAATTGTATAATAAACGCAACAGTACGAAAAACAAACCTGTTAATTGCTGAATAGAAACACTATCCCTTCTACTTATTCTCACTTTCTCCTACCAGTGAACTGGAGGTCATAGTCTAGTCCAGCCATCCTAGTCCTTCGACCACCAGATGACTGGAATTCTAAATAGAGGATAATACCATAGTATAAAAATAAGAAAAAATAGGAAATAGATGGAAAAGAAGTGAAACTAAGAATAATCGATATGATATATTTAAATGAAAAATAAAATGATTTATTGAATTATCTCGGATTAGTTCATTAATCTGCTGGATTCTATTATAACGTACAAATTTCAGATAGTAATTGAGATTATAAATATAATTAGGTAGAGTAATATACTTATTGTAGGTTCGAAAGCAATAAAATGAGAAATCAGCGCTGTTTACGATTAACTAAAACACCACGAGGTGTTATGTGGGAGAAATGTGCGGGCAAGAGGAAGGGATAGCGTATTAATTTAATATTTAACACATCTCTTTTTTGTGCTGTTTATTCCGTTTATTTTCTGAATTGATGAACTCTTGGAGTTCTGGAGTGGTTGACACTTGGCGTTAGCATGTACTTCATGCGTTGGTAGGAAGTTGTAAGTTTTCTGATTAATCATGATGTAATGCACTTGCTGGTAGATTACTCTGAGAAGTGAGAGGTTGTAAAGCTCTTACCACTTGTTCGAGTAGTGTCACGTGGTGAATCTACGACTGCTTCGTGCAATTGGGCACGAGCGGGATTCGTTCAATTCTGTAGTAGTACAGTGTGTGTCTGCTGAATGGCGCGGAGATTGACTTTGTACGCGTGGGGTACGAGCGAAATTAGAGATAGGATCGACAAGGTGTGTGCCGAATGGCGCGAACATTGGCTTGCTGATGTGCGTGGGGCACGAGCGAGGTTCTCCTTGGGCACAGGCAGTAGAATTAGTTAGGATAATGCTGCGTGTATCTTTGAAGCGACCTTGATCCTTAAAGTATGTTCAGTGACCTGGCTCCTGGAGAGACCTTGGATGGAAGATGGTGGCTATGGCGCCATTGAGTTGTTGAGATTACAAACGAAGACATGGCGTTGGATTCAGTTTGAGGATTTTTAACATGAGTACTTGAATCTTATGATTGTCGCTCTTAAATACAGTTCACTGATCGCGGTATCCACTTGGGATCCCTTCCCTTTCTTTGTATCCAATCGGAGAGCTTGCGGCTTTACGGGCGAAAGCAGCGCCTCTTGCGTTATCGCCCTCAATCAAGAAGTTCCATCTTCTCTTGGCCCTCGCGCCAAGAGGAGCTCCCAATTTCATTGCCTCGACGCCTCTAGCGGCCACTTGGCAGAATTGACAACAAGGGGGGGGTTACATGCCGTTAAATTTTTAATTTTGGGTATAGCGGTGCTTTCCAGATGCCTAATGAGCTGGGTTTTCCGAGTCAACCGACTTGTTTTGCAGATGTTTAATGATATCAATGCCAGATTTTTTATCAGCAGGCATTTTCAGGAGTCTAGTAACTATTTAATGATTTTGGGTTTGCCACATGTTTAACGACTTGGGAGAGGTTCTCGCAATATCGAACAAGCGCTTATATTAAAAAAAGGAGTGATATAAAGGCGACGATGGCTGAATAATTATGACGACATTTAAAATAATATTTCTTTAAGTCTATATAGTGTGCCTCTTTATAATTATTATTTGACGAAGGTAGTGAACTTTTCATCTTATATTCAAGTTATCTTTACATGTTACACTATAGACAATTATATATCTCAAATATCAGTAATTTGTATTTATGTTCAATTATTAACATTTAACTTTGATACTAAAGTTGAAAATAAATATATAAATAAAAAATACTATGCACTTGTATAAAAAGAAAAAAATATAGAAAGATAAAATTATTCATTTACTAATAAACATATTCGCGTGCATTCTTTTTTCGCCCACTTTTTTATTTATTATGCGAGTTACTCTGAGTAAGACTACTTTTACATATAATATACAAAAATAAAAAATATTTGTAATAACAAATTATAATAACAAAATTGTAATATCAAATTATTAAACATGTATGAAACCACAGATTAATATTTTAAATAACTAATAAAATTGTCTTTATTTATATCTATCAATTTATTCGAAAAAATGCCAGTATTGCAGAAAATTACGAATAAAAACCAACGTATTGTACTTTAAACACGTTCAAATTATATTAATGTTATAAAGTATACTTATTTAATTATTACTTATAATTAATATCAATTATTCACCTTTTTTTAAGAAACTAAATTTTACAGCTCTCTATAGAAACTAAAATGTTGCAGCTTCAAAATTACACGGTCGCAAAGACTGAATATAAAAATTTTTTTTATTAATATAATTAATTAGTCTATTATTTTAAGCTTAACTTTCTATGAACCTATTTTTGGATCAACCCAACATAAGTGCGTGTATTTAAAAAAATGTTTATCAATCATTTATAATATTATCGTATGTATATACACACTGCAATAAAATCATGTTTTCTAATAAAAATGAACAATATGGAAAAAAATTGTGTAAAAATACTGATAACAGTGCAAAATAGAAAGATGCATATTAGGATTATAATTTGATATTAGTTTTGAAGCTTTTTTATAATTTTTTTTGGTAAAAAATTACTTAATTTATCGAAAAACTATATAAATCTATAAGAAACTCTGCCTTACTTTTTCATACTATTATCAATCTCGTGAGCTGTACTTTGGGATGTAATGTCTGATGATGGATTATCTACGATAGATTCAGATAAATTCTTTATATTATGATTGTTAAACATATCTGGCGAATCTGAAAAAATAATTTAATTGTTTAAAATTTCCTTTAAAACATTTTATTTGTATATAATATATCCTACAATATTTAAAATATTAATATAAAGTTAAATATAAGAAATATTCTGCATGATTTTGCCTTGTTAATATATCATCAGAACAATTAATTAATATCAATTAATAAATATTTCATATTTGATTCTCCAATTTTATATAGTTTTTATTTAGCCATATATTAGCGTCTATTTATTAATGTGAAAAAGAAATTTGTAATTTTCAAAAACTTTTCACCAACAATAATAAAATTTGAATAAAAATTTTTACTTAATAATTTATTTTTAAGCTATAAAATATGTAATATATATAATAAATTATTTAATTAAAAATTAATCTTTGCGATATAGATTTTAATAATGTAAATTTGTAAAAACTCACCATTGAGGGTTGATTTGTTCTTTATATCAATAAGATATTTATCAAGATTCTTTGGCTCAATAGTGAAAAGTATGATTTTATTCTGTACATTTTTTAAAGCTTCTACTGCCTCTTCATGCGTAACATTTTCTAAATTTTGATCTCCCTAATATAATAAATTATGTAAAGTTAATAATTATAAAAAGTAATAATTGATTTAAGATATATATCTATTCGATATCATTTATTTAGATTTTTTTAATACAATAAAATAATAAAATAAAAGTTTATTAATTTACTTATACTTTTTTAATACAACATTATTTATATTTTTTAATTAACCAATGTATATGCTCAAACTACTTTTTCCAACTTTTTATTAGATGCCAAAAAAATTGGAAAAACAATAATGATATATATTCATAATGCATTATAATTAATTAAAATTTATTTAAAATTATCGTGTGCATGCAACTTCTTGAATTTTAGATCAGACTCTTGTTATATTATGTAACATTAGTATCTGAAAAAAGGCTTATCTCTTGCGTTCGCTTATAAAACTCATTTCAATGTGTATCTATTCCCCCATCAGAAAATCCATTAACTGTTATTTAAACAAAATTTATTCATTATAAGGCATTTATTATTATTTCAATTAAATTATTATTTTAATATTAGGGTGACAATAATTAAAGATTGTTCTGTCCTTTTTGTATATTTTGTATCATTTTTCAGTTTGATATAGATTGGTCACATCTTATAGGATATAAAAGAAATGCGATTCGAAATTGAAAGGAAAATCGTAGGTAGAATTCTAAATGCGATTATAATTTATATTAATAGACTTTTATTATTATTACTTAAAAAAAACAATAAATAAAATATATAACACATTTGAATAATAGTAGAGAGAAATATAAAAAATAAAAAATGGAAAACATTTGCATACACAATTCCTAAGTAATACTTAAATGTTTATAAAATTTTAATACGTTTTGCTGCGTATATTAAAATTATTATTATACATAATTATTATAATCAATGTTGTTATTATTATACTAAGTTTTACATATTAATTTATATACTAAGGAAGGTGTGATTGGAAACTTTCCAATTAAAATATTAAAATTAAAAATCGGCTTTAATATTCAATATTATTTAATGCAAACTAAATTTTATCAGAATAAACTATTAGAACTAGCAGAAAAAACATTTTAATAAAAAACGAACGAGAATACCAAAATTATATATATAATTATAAAGATTAAACAAATAACAGCCTATAGATAATTAATATAAATTATATACAAACAAATTATAAAATTCATATTAATAAATTTCGTAATGGTTGAAATTGAGGTTAATAAATATTAGTTAATAAATATAATTTTTTAAATATTGAAATATAAATGTTATATACAAATATTTTTAATAAATTAATAAATTCCAATTTTATACATAAAATACGGTTAATTTCCAAAAATCGATTATTTTACCATCATACAAAAATTATTTAATTACAATGAAAATTATTTATTTGTCATATATAGAGTTATAACTTAAAAATAATTAACAAATACATTTAATAAACAAATAGCTATGCGAATTTTAATGTACACAAATTCTTTAATCAATACAACTATTATTAATTATTATTAATCTATATACAAATGCTATGGTAAAATCACATTTTTCTATGTATTTTAGTATTTATTTTTGTATATTATATTAGAAATTAAAATTATTTCATTATTTTTATTGTCAAATCCATAATTCAATGTTAAAATAATACTTACAGATGCATTTCTAATGGCGACTAATTTATGTCCAATTTTTAATCTACCATCTATATCAGCAGCACCTTGATCCATTATTTTTGTAATATATATACCATTTTCTCCTGGAATATGTTGGTTTCCTATACCACCAGCAATACTGAATCCTAATCCCTTTTCACCTTTTATTAATTCTATTTCATTTATATCATTATCTGTTATTTCTCTTCGAATATACTAAAAGTAGAACATAAAAACATAATTAAATAGATTATTTAATTTCACACATATTATCTAAAAATTATATGTAAAATTTGTTGTATATTATTAATAAATAATATTAAAATTTAATAAATATTAAATTTATACGACTAACAGACGGCTAAAAAACAATCGAAATGAAATATTTAATATGTATAATGGTATAATGGTATAATGGTCTTATCGGCTATTGAAATCATTTGTAAGGATTTACTAAAAAATCTTCAATTTCTTATAATTATTAATGTATTTAAAAGTTTACAGTTATACTATATTGAAAATGATTTTTATTATTAAGATTAAATCAACATTACTAAAATGTATAATATAGTTTAACAAATTTCTTTTTATGATCTATATCAATACTAATCTATTCCAATTCAAACTATTGAATTTATAATATAGAATAAATATATAATAAAAATAATCTTATCAAAAAGGAGTATCAGATAATTTAAACATAATTCATTTAATATATTTAATATTATATCATATAATGATATATAATGATTAAAATTAAAAAATAAGGCCTTCAGTCAATTTCTAACTATAACTTATATAACTACATATTTAACTATATTCTTATAATTTTAAGTTCAGTTCTATCTGCATAATATCACTTAATATTTTTACTGTTTGCGAGTATCATAAAAATTATTTACCACTAATATATGGAAGTGGCATCGTGATATAACATGCAGTTTTGCTGTGTTTTATCTGAGGCTACTAATTCAGACAAGTCCATATGGTGAGTGATTTCGAAATTTAATCAAGAACTAATATACTTTCCATTTCAGACGTATTTTTCATTTTATTTTATTTCAGACATTAATTAGTAGACTACTCAGATAAAATAAATATGATACACGTAATGATCCAATTACAATAAAATTTAAAAATAAAATATTTTTTATTTAATTTTATTTTATTAAAAACAAGTACTATAAGGAACCACAATATTATATGATATTTTTATTTACTATTTATTGAAACAACCTTTTTTACACAAGTGGGACCAAACTAGTATACATTTAGTTTAATTTATTATTTTATATGAACATGTTAAATAGTTATTTTAATTATATTACTGTAATCGGAGAATTTCATATTTTTCTTTATATTATTATTAAAAGCGCAATGGAAAATAACAATAGAAATGCATTAGAAAATTAGAATCGTGTAAATTTGTATACAAATGGAAATATCTTAAAACTATTTCTTCGGCTGGATTTATTAAATCTTATTCAATTTACTTGCAATTTTAAATGAATAGTTTATAAAATAGTCCATAAAAACATTAACAATAAAGTTAATTGCCCTATCCATATATATGTATTTATTTAATAAATATAATTTTCAATTTGGCTATCATAGTAACTACGATAATGAATTTTATAAGATTTGTATTTATTTAAACAAAATTTTAATTGCAATTACTACTAATTGACAAACTACTTCTTAATGTTGTTTTTTGTCCTCATAAAAATATTTTAAAATATTTTTCAATAATTAAACGGATTATTTAAAAAAAAATACATTATCGTTAATCTAAATACGATATATACTATTTTTTCATTAGAACCAAGTGTAATTAAAAGAAATAAAATAAGAAAACAATTCGATAAAGATTTAAATAATCTGTCGTATAATAGGTACATTTTTATAGTCTACTTTGCTGTGATAATAAACGTTTTTATTTTTGGATGCAGTGGATTTTATTCTTGAATCAATTCTATTACATCCTTCAGTATTATCGGATGTGTATTTTGTTTTTCAATATAAGTCGCTAATTACTATTATATATTTATTACCTTATTAAATTAATGCTAAATGATTTGATACAGATTTTCATTATAATCATAAATAAATCATTTAGTATAATCAATTAAATTGTACAAAGATTAACACTATAATTTTGTAATTCATTTATTATATGAAAGGTAATATGAATCAATATATAAAATTCTTATTATTTCTTTCTTATACCATTTTTTTTATTTGTACTAATGTATAATAACATATCGTATAAGCATTAAAAATAATAATTTAATATAGACATAAATTTTCTTGTAGATTTCATTATTTTTACTTTAATTTTAGATATATTAGAAATCAAAGATTATAAGTTTATAATTGACTATATTTATTTTTTCTTTTTTTTACTAAAATTCTTAAATTTTTTTTACATATAATTATCACTTTATATGTAAGGCTTACATACAAATATAAATTGTATTAATATTATAATTTAAAAAATTGGCATATATAATTTAATATTAAATTTCATTATACTATAATCAAAATTATCGAAAATAAAGAATGCTCTAATTGATATAATATCTATATGTACTGAAAGATATGCAATTAAAATTCTTACAAGTTTCACTTTATCGCCAGATTTTTTTAATATGTCAACAGCTGTAGCATGTGTCACATTAACTACAGAAACATCATTTACTTTTTCAATTCGATCATTAATTTGAAGTCGACCATCAACTGCTGCTGCACCATGAGGTATTATTTTGGTAATATATATATAAAAGTCATTTGGTAAATGAGGATTATCAGTTCCACCTGCAATACTAAAACCTAGTCCAGTTCCACCTCGTATAATACAAATATCTCCATACTTCCACTTTCCTTTATTATTGCTCTACAATAAATTAAATACAATTATCATGTTATCTAAAAGCACGTTTTTTTTAATGTTCAACCATCAGAATATATAAAAAAATTCATATTTATACAAATATTACTTAGGTTATTGAACTAATTATTATCATTATAATTACATATTATAATCTTTGTATTAATTATGAAAAATGAATAATACAATATTACCTTAATTCTTTGATTTTATTTGAATGGATGTGGAATATTTTTATTCTTAAAAGTAGACGTAATTATAACATGATTTAAAAGATTTTATACGCGATTTGTCTATGTCATGTTTTACTAGTATATATTGGTAAAAATTCATGCTTTTAATTTCAAAATACTTTATTAATATATTTGATGGTCTAATGTGTAATAAAAAATTAAATTATTGAAATTATAAAGTTGAATATGTATGAAGATCACTGCCTGAAATTAACTTTAAATACATAATAAAAGAAATATGTAAATCAATATAAAAAAAATCATATTAAACTATAGAGTAACAATTTTGTAAATTAATTTAAATCGTTAGTCTGAATATAATACAATAAAATATATTTGATAAGATTATTAAAGCGTAATGAAAACAATCGAATTTTTGGTAATTTAAACAAATTTGAGAAAAAAAGCTTATCATCGTAAAAAAAAGCAAAGCAAATTAGTGTAGCTACTGAAATAAGTCACTCTAGTCTGCATCAATTTATATATAGTAAATATAATAAGTGCTAATTGACAAAAAAAATCCAAATCGGAAAACTAATATGATCAGTAATAATTAATTTTAATAATAGTAAAATGATGAAAGTAAGCTAAAATTATTTAATCTATACGAATGAAAATAAATGATTAAGTTTACTTAGATTACATAAATATGCTAATTTAACATTTTTATTTTGTTTTAATATTAATAATTAAAAGTACAGTTGAATCAAAGACGACTGTAATGTAGTTATTAAAGAAAAAATAATGAAAAAGCAATAACTATTTTATTCGTATTATCTTACAATTAAAAAAACTAACAGTTACAAAAATCAGAATTATATCAGAATTATAATCAGTTATATATAATTGAATAAGCTATGTGTTTCATTAATATGACAAATTGACTAAAAGATATGGATAAAATATAAAATTACTATTATTATTGTATATGCACATGAAAATATGATAATTGAAACGCTCTCGTAGAGATCCAAAATTGAACTTGCATTGAATGTATACGTATTCTCAGGTATTTAATTTATTTATTTATATTAAGATATTAAATTTCAACCAACAAATTTAACGTTTTGAAAAACACTTATCGTTTTCAAAGCAAAAAATGAGTTGCCAAAGATGGAAAAGCATAACTCATATTAAAAAACCCTGCATAAAAGATTTAAATTATAAACAAACAACTAAAATATACAAATATGATTCAGGAATGTACCATGAATTAATTTATTTCGAGTTCAAAATGAAACAATTTTAAATAACGACAAAGACTTAATTCTCAAAATTATATTTTTATGTAAATATCAAATACTTAACTGTCATTTAAATCTAAGGTTAATACTTGATATCTTTAAATGCTTAAAGTCAAAAATAGTGTTGATAACAACATTTCTTAAATTAATAATCAATCAATTTAAAATTATCATCTCGAAAATGTTCTCAGAAGTTTATGTTAGGACTTTGTATGAGCATATATATATTATGCTTTCTTAAAATATTTTTCCATTATTTATTTTATAATATAATATA